TTCAGAATGAAATATCTTAGTCCAGCGGTTCGCAAACTGCGACCAATCAATGTGCTGTGTGCGGCCTACGAGATAAAATAATACGACAACATGACGAAAAGTAATGCCTCCATTTTCTGGAAGAGACCTCTCTTGCTCTGAAATGCAAATAACTTATAGATCAGGATGTAATTACTTAGAATGAAGCGTTGGTTATAACAAACTATTATTTGAACTGTGTGCACATTTAGGCAGTAATGTCGTTGTTATTCCAGAATAATCCATGCCTACTGGCTCACTAATTAGATAAATGTCTTTGAAAATGTTTTTTGTACTCAATTCTCCTAATTATATTAAGAAATTTGTGAAAAGTCTTGATGGACAGGTTTAAAATGGCCCTTAAGTATGCTGTGAAGTTGGAAGACGACACTTAGCACTGCGATCTGTCATATCCTGTGTCGTGGTACCACTGATGTGACGAATAACAAAGCATGTACGATCACATTACTTAACAATCGATTGTATTATTTTTCTGTTGAACAAGTTTGCAATTAACTTGGAAAGTATCGCGTATAATCGTTTTAGACACACTGCCCTAGGGCGAACATTCAAAAACGTACGAGGTGCGATCGGAAAGTTTCAAGACTGTGTCAATAGAGGGCGAACCGGATGTAGTACGAGCTTCTGCCGCCAGGGGGTGCGGCCTACATTCATAGTGAATCAGTGTGCCAGCCGGCATCATCGAATTAGCATTTGTTTCTTAGTTACGGGCGTTTTGGTAGTGCATTACACCGACCCTCCTGCGATTTCGGAATGGCGTGTGCATCAAATTTTGCCAAAGACTCGCCAAAACGGCTACGGAAACATATGAAACCTCGTATGTGGTTGGCTGAGATCAAATAACTTTTACTTTATTTAATAGTAAACATTATACACCACCAGTCAAATGTACTTTAAAAGTAATCATAAGTAACATAGAGAAATTTCCCATCTGTCAGATACAATGAAACTACTCGTGGCTCAGCTGCTCAATTTGACAATCAGCTACATCAGCTGAATTGTTTAAAAAGATACATTAACAACACTACCCTTCTTCTTGAATATGAATAAAGGAAGAATGGGGAAAAAATATATGGACAATTTTAAAATGTTACGTGCTTAGGGAAGCTATTATATATGTTGATTTAAAAACCAGCTCTCTGAGAATCGAACTCCAGCCTTCCAAAAGGTACACACGCTACCAACTGAACTGTCGCCCAAAACACAAATTCCCCTCCATTCATCAGTTAACAAAGCGTAAAATAATAGTTATTAAAAACAAATAATGGAGTGTTACTGGCTCTGACGTCATGGATGGGTCCACTGACATACGACAAAACCACTGTCAAATCAGAGGGTTTTATTTAACCAGGTCGTCTGCTGAGAGGTATACAACTTTCCACTGCTCTTTAAACGTAAACAAACAGTGAAATTATCTTCCAGTTTCCGCTACGAAAAACAATCTTGCTGTGCCCTTCTCAAACAAGTCAGAAATAACTAACAAATGCAAGTTCGATTAACAGCAAAGATGTTTCGGTTCAAACGTTATATTCAATCTAATTACGTCCACTCCTAAACTAATAAGATCCATAGTTGAAGCGCAGGTATTATGGATATATTTTAAAGAAAACATCCATTTAAAATCCTAACAAGCTGATTCCTATTTTTCACAACTACTTTATGAGACCAAAACGTTTCTGAGGTTTTATTTATTTATTTATTTAGTGTTCTGTCTGACGACAGGTCCATATGAACAGGATCCTTCCATCCTTTTCTCGGACTGGGACCTCTTCATATACGTTCTTGGCAGATGATCCAGAAGTGGTTTGCCATTGCCTTCTTCTGTGTGTGAATGGAGTAATTGTTGGGATGCCACGGAGGAAAACTCCGTGTTGCCTAGACCACGGCCATGCCCAACACAAGTTATAAATT